GAGACTCAAATTAGGACATTTGGAGCTTGAGGAGGACAGAACCATTTCCTGCTGAAGTAGGACATCCATGGTGGGAAATGTACCAAATAGGCCTCAGCAGCCAGGTACCAATGTTACCGAGAATTACAAACTAATAATACTTTCATATGCAATTCTTACAAAATGCTATTTATTGCAATGCAATAAAATGCTTAGGAGTTTTTGGTACCAGTAGCTTCATATATACAGTGGCTTGTAGGCCTGGTTTCTTTATCTTGGCCAGAACTGCACTAATCATATGTGAGACAATGTGAAACTCCTTGGGTTACCACATAAGCTGTGACTTGGGCACATATGTGGTCTCAGTTGGGCACCAATCCAAAACATGAATGTGCTTTTATTAATAGAGGGAGATGTTTCTCTGAGGTTGGAAAATGGTGTGGCTTTGGTTTGAAAGCATTTGACAGTGCTTGCGGTCTCTGGCGGCTGTGTTTATTCTTTCACATCATCAAGGGGAAGTGAACAATTTTGCAGTTGGCAGTTGAGATAAAGCTCAAGGGATTTTGGTTATGGATACTCCCGATGATTGAGAAATAAAGTAACTGTGTTTAGAGAGAAATGACAAACAGAGTGAGGGAAGCAACGGGCAGGGAGGGGTCAAAAGTCCAGGCCACCAGCCCTCCTGGAAACTCATAGACGTTCTGAGTCTCACTTTCCTCAGCTCAAAAATGGGCACATAATACCTTTCCTGCCTGCTTTTAGATAGACTCTCCTACTCATCTTTCTCCTGTTTTCCCTGAAGAAGTCATTGGTTTGAGCATTCAGTAGCCCATCTCCACCTGGCAATAAGAATGGTGACCCATGGAGATCGCTGGCAGCTCTCAAAGTGGGGTCTTCTTAGCAGCATCTGCCTGGTGGTTTCTTCTAGACCATTCTCAAGGCTTTCAGCTGAGGCTCACTGAGACTTTATGAGTCCTCTGAAATATCTTGTCAGAAGTTTCTTTTAATTTTTTTTGGTAGTACTGGAGTTTGAACTCAGAGCCTCACACTTGCTAGGCAGGCACTCTACCACTTGAGCCACTCTGCCAGCCCCTTGTCAGAAGTTTCTTAACCTTGCTTCTCCCTTGACTTCTCCTTCCATTCTTCCTCCTCCTCATTGCCCTTCCACCTCCCCTTCTCCCTCTGAGTTTCACCCAGTTGGCCAGTAATGGAACATTGAAGAGCTCTTTATTTGCACTTTTTATTGCCATCTGAGTAGACTGAAGAATAAAAAAGAGGAGCTGGCCCTGGGAGAGTAGACTGTGAAATCTGTAATGATGATTGTGATGGGAGTGGGAGAGGCTTGAGCAAGGTGGTTGTTGACACAGGACAGAAAGCATTGATCAACCACTGAGCAGTCTTCACAGAGGACAAGGGAGCCTGAGTTGGGCCTGAATATGGTCAGGAGGTCACCCATGAGGACTTGGGTGTAGGTGTGGCTGACGAAGTGGTCTATTCAAAGGCATGGGATTGTGAACGGACAAGGACATTGTGCAGTAGAAAGAGGGAGGGAGGCATAGGAGGTGAGCTTGGAGAGTGGACTGTACTTAGAGAGTGAAGAGTCTTCAGGATATGGGTGTTACCCACTGACCCTGCTGTTACTGGGTTTAGGCCACCAGGTCCATAGACCAGAAGGTTCTTGGTCTTGTGAGAGAAAGAATTCAAGGACAGACACAGAGGAAACTTAAGCAGCAGCAGGTTATTAATCCAAAGCATAGTGAAAGCAAAGCACAGTGCACTCTACAGGGAGGGTGGACAAGCACTGTACTGGCAGTTCCAAGACCTGATCTTGTAGCAGTATCTGCAGATGTAGAGGTGGTCATTCCTGGAAAACTGTGCAATGTGGCATTAACTTCCAGAGATTTGGTGTACACCATCAACTCCTGCCACACACCAGGTCGGGGAACCTTTGGTTTTCGATGGTCAAACCAGGGCTGTCATTTTCTGAAGGTTGTGAGGCCTGCAAGTCAGCAATACCCTGCTGTATGTCACGAGTAGTCCAATCAATGTTAATGGGAAGGGTATGATTTTGTTGTTAACATCCAAGCCATCATTTCAAACACCAGGTTTCCTAACTCCTATAACCCTGGGACACTGGGGGAGGCCTCTGAACAGGGAACGCTGGGTTTTGAGAGGCCTCATCCAGCAGCAGTGAGCAGACTTGAGGAGATAAGTTGACATGGAGAGACTGTGGAAGGAACTCCAATCAGGAGGCTGCAGAGTTGAGTAAGAGATGAAGTTGTAGGGACCTGGTGATGGAGGGAAGAGATGGGACAGGTGAGCAATCAGGTGTGACAAGAGAAGGGAGAGTCTGTGTTCTGAGCCTGGAAAGGAGTTGCTCTCTGGAATGAGATAGAATAGGGAATAAGCACCTAGGAAACCAGTCCCCCTCCAGGAAGTATATTTTTCTTTCATCCAGTATTTTTTATTACTCTGCTCCTCCAAAAGAATCTTGAAATCCATTTGTGTCAGAGATAAGGTTTGATTAACTCACGGTTTTCCGATATTCTAGCCTTTATATTTACACTGTCTTTCCTTTGTAAATGTTCACAGCGGGCACTAATCTTGGGCTAGGGTCCCAATGACGAGAAGAGAAACAAGGTAGATGTCCTACTGAAACTTCTAGAGTAGGGGAGCAGGCAGTGAGACATAGTCTAAAGTAGAATTCGTGGGTGGGCCTGTGGTATGAGATGAAGCCTGAGGGTTTGGTAAAAAACAGATCATACGAGGCCTTATGGACCATGATCAAGGGCACTGAGTCTTACCCCAGGAACAATGGATGAAAAGCCAGCAGGGCTTCAGATGACTGAACACAGAAAGGCAGGGTTCTGGAACTGTGGGGACTTGAGCAAGTAGGTTAATGGTGGTGTCACATGTTGAGTATTACTGGGTAATTTACAAGTATGTTGTATAAGTTTCATGCATGTTTTTTCTACCAGCACTACCTCTGACAAATACTTGTAGTCCTCCTACCTCAGCCTTTGGTGTGCTGGGATTACAGAGATGCACCACCATGCCTGGCCACTCAGCTAGTTACAAAAATAATGTATTATGTTTGTACAAGAAGAACCTTGAACTGTCTTAACTTTTCTAATGAGTTGAGAAAAAAGATTAAAAGGGAGATGAATTGAAACTGAAACAAGAAATAAGAGCTCCAAGGAAAACTATGATTCCTCTGGTCACAGTGTCCCTTGTGAGAATTTAAATGAGCTAAGCAAGATGACTATGGCTTGGAGTACCCAATCACAGACCTGGGAGCCAGGAAAAGAAACCGCTCACGTGCACAGGAGTGAAATGGGTGCTCCATGGTCTCCACAGGCTCTGCCTGTCCAGGGCAGGGCAGGATTTGCATCCGTGCTCTTTGGGCTCCATGGAGGAAAGTGTGAGTCATCCTTTGGACTGAGGTAAACCAGTAGCTCCCAAGTGCCTAGGATGTCAAAGAAGAAGGAGAACGGGTAGAGCTGGGTCAGATCATGTGAATTTTCCATTTTCTGGCTGCAATGACCTGGAATTCCTAGAACAGTTTATTGGTCTTCACAAAACGCTCTTCCTTAGCTTAGAAGACTGTACTATGGAGCCACGGTCAGGTGAAGTGCTTGAGTAGTTTATGTTTTCACCAGTGTTTGTGACTCAGAAGCTTTCAAGGAAGAATTTACTGAATTGAATATAATTGAATCAACTACAAATGTCCTGCATGTATTTGTTTGAAACACTTTAAAATTTTTCTCTGTTTTCAAGGTCACCAGTTACATTTGAGCTTATTAGTTGTAAAATCTTTTTTGTTGGTGTTACAGGGGAAAACTAATCAAAGATACATGCTACCTCAACTGTTTTTAAAAGTTGAGGCTATATGATGCTTTAGGTTTGCATGATGTTTTACAGTGTACAGAACTTCATTGCATATTTGCCAGCTGACATACAACCACGCTGAAAGTGAGCAGAGTGCTCACTCCCTTTTCACAGATGGGGCGGGTAAGAGGCATAAGCCCCAGTCACATAACTAGTGGGAGAGTTAGGACTTGAATCCCTGTCACTGGGCTGGATGACCAGCATTCAGCCTTCCGCATTTTGGGAAAGAAGTTGCATAGTAAAAGTGTAGATGGGCCACAGGTCTGAGCACCCTTGGGTAACAGGCACCAGCAACGCCATTCATCTCCTCTCACTGAATCCTCACAATTACAGGGCAATCAGTTACCACTGCCTCTGCTTTACTGCTGAAAAAAAATGTGCTCTGGGAGGTTAAGAAGCTAACCCAGGCTTGTGAGTGGTGAGACTGAGCTGGCTTGTTTTTAACCAGCAGTTTCCTGTACTATCCCACAAGGAAAGATCGTACTGCCTGTTAAAATTAGCAAGTAACAGCAACCACATTTTTATAGATTTACTAATTGTTCTCTTCTTGACTCTTAGACAAAGGCTAATGTTGAAAAAACATCTTACAAAAGAATTACAAGTTTGCAAGATCTCAATTCTTGATTCTTAGAAGACAATGAGGCTAAAAATTCTTAACTATTCCTTGGCCACATTAGTATTTGATGCCACTTATAAGAGTATAGGGTAAGAAGTCTCTAATCTATGAAATCGATGTGTTGATATGGCTATCACAGGTCAATTGAAGATCTTTTTTTTTTTTTTTTTTTACTTTGGTGGCACTGGAGTCTGAACTTGGTAGGCAAGTGCTCTACCACTTGAGCCATACCTCTAGCCCAAAGATCTTACTACTTTTAATAAACCTAAATGGTGATTTGTTTTGCCCTGGGTTTTTTATATACTAACTGCCTACTAATATTAATACCTTTTAACTAAATTAGGCTTTGATTTCATGCTACCTGTGCCTACGCCCACTTTCTCCAGCAGACGAATCATAATGGTGGCTTCATTTACCTAGTGATATAATGAAACTTATGAGATAAATTGTGCTGTTCTGCTTAGTGTGGCTATGTATCCCAGGCTAAAAAAATGTCACAAACACGCTTTTACCCCAGATAACTGCTACATTGAGAAACTTGGTTGATTCATCACTAGCAAGAAGTAAGTTCCTGAGTGTCAGTGCCCTTCCTCAGCTCTGCACAGTGATGGAACAGTACATGGGTGACAAGGACATCTGTACCAATATTGCCAGAATATTCAGGTAGGTAGACTAAGAAAATGAAGTAACCTTGCAAAAATGCTAACGCTTAGATTTGAGGTTATCCCTAATATTTGTGTATGCAACTGGCAGGGAATTTTTTTATTTGCTTTTTCCTTCACCTACGATTTTAATCTAGCGGCCCAAGATTAAAGTACTTGATTCATTTCCTGTATGTAATGCAACTCTAAACTCTTAGATTATAAGTCACTTCAGTGCTTAGATGAGTTGTGAGCTATCTTAGTGTTTTTGTTTGCTTGAATTTTTTTCTCAGCTCCTTGGAGATAAAGAGTTATATGCCATGAAACATGGCAAGCTTTCAGGTATACTTGGAAACAACACTCAAGAGTTTTAACTCAAAAAGGAGATCATTGCTCAAAAAGTCTGATCTGACTTAGTTTGTAAGAGGGTTATTTTATTTCTGTTGTCTGAACTTCAGCTCACACGTTCACTAGTCACGTTCATACTCTGTTCCAGAAGTGGTGATCATTGAATGTAGGTTGTCTCAAAGCAAGATGTTGTTAAATTTTAGAACTATCTTTAAATTATGCATTTACATTTTTCCCTTGCTGCTCTTTGCCAACATTCTTGCATAATATTCCTTTTTTTTCTTCTTTTTTGAAACAGTCTTTCTTTGTAGCCCAGGTTGGCCTTGAACTTGAGATCCTCCTACCTTGGCCTTCTCAAGTACTGCTTGTGCCACCATGTGCAGCATTTTTTTTATATTATCCTTTAATACAATTTTATATTTTTCCATAAAATCTTGTCTATATTTATCCAGGTCCTCCATGGATTTTGTTGCAATTATGAAGGCAATCTTAAACAGTATCAGTATTTGCATATTAATTTTGTGTTCAGAAATCTTTATGAGAATTTAGATTCTTTTAGATTGTCCATGCAAATTGTCTGCAAATAAGAAAAATTATCTTGGGTTTTTTTTCCAATTATTGTATCCCGTACTCCCTCCCCCTCCCCCATCTTCATCTCTTTTATCACATAGCTAGGAGCCCAATATAGAACTGGGGGAGGGTCGGGTGTGCTGCCTTTCTCCTGACTTTATTTTTGTTTTGTTTTCTGATGGGACTGAGATTTGAATTCAGGGCTTCACACTTGCAAAGCAGGCACTCTGCCACTTGAGCCATACCTCCAGTCCTCTCCTGACTTTAAAGGTATTATTTTTATGGTCTCACCAGTTGAAAATAATAATTGTTGTAGACTTTCAAAGACACCATTTAGAAGGTTATGGAAGGATTTGCTTTCAGTAAGCAATGTTAAGTTATCTCATATGCTTGCCCTGAATCTGTTTTGATTATATGGATTTACTTTTCAATCCACTAATTGTAGATTACATCAACAGATTTTTTTGTGTTAGGTCATTATATATCACTGAGTTTGGTTAACTAATATACTGTTTGGGACTTTTCATCTGTGGTCATGAAATACACTAACCTTTCCTTTTCCTTTCTCATCTTGTCCCTGTGGCTTTAGTGTCAAGTTTATGCCAGCCTCATCAAATGAGTTGGGAAGCATTTTAACTTTTTCTCTTTTCTAGAATTTATGAAAATTAAACTTATCTGTTTCTCAAAATAAAACTATTTTTATTCTGATGTGTGTGTGTGTGTGTGTGTGTTGCATTATGTGTTATTGACTACTGGTTATTTCTTTTTCTTATCTTGTTTTCTTCTCTCTCTCTCTCTCTTTCTCTCTCTTTCTTCTTTTAAGCAACAGTTTCACTATGTTGTCCAGGCTGGCCCCAAACTGTTGGGCTTAGGTGGTTCTCCTGCCTCAACCTCCTGAGTAGCTGGGATTACAAGCCCAGGTTACTATGCCTGGTCAATTCCTTTTTTATTTATGGTTATATATCTAGTCATATTTCTTAAGTCTACGTGGTTCAGTTTCAAAAGTTATGTTTTTATGAGAATTTGTTTATTTTTTCTAATTTTTTAAACAATATTAAATTGTTCCATCCCAGCATTTGGTAGACTGAGGCAAGAGGATCAAGAGTTAGAGATCAGCCTGGGTTCTCCTGCCTCAACCTCCTGAGTAGCTGGGATTACAAGCCCAGGTTACTATGCCTGGTCAATTCTTTTTTATTTATGGTTATATATCTAGTCATATTTCTTAAGTCTACGTGGTTCAGTTTCAAAAGTTATGTTTTTATGAGAATTTGTTTATTTTTTCTAATTTTTTAAACAATATTAAATTGTTCCATCCCAGCATTTGGTAGACTGAGGCAAGAGGATCAAGAGTTAGAGATCAGCCTGGGTTACATAATGAAATCCTGTCTCAAAAAATTAGGTAAATAAATATATTGTTCAAATGTTCTCATATTATCTCATTTTAATTTCTGTTGCATCTCTGCTTTTGTCCCGTTGTATTTATTTTCCTTATTTAACAAATACCTGTACTTACTATATGCTGGGCAGTATTCTAAGTACTTTCTAAATACTGATTCCTTTAATCCTTATGACAACTTTTTAAGACAGGTACCATTCTTGTCATCTTCATCTGACATATCAAGAAATTGAGGCATAGAAAAGTCAGTAGTTTTCCTAAGATCACACAGTAAGACACAGAGCAATAGCACAAACCAGATATTCTGGCTCTAGAATTCATACTTCTAACGACTATGTTACACGCCTCTTCATTGTTAATATTGACTTTCATTCCTAATTTTGATGATTTATGACGGTTCTCTTTTTCTTCTTGATCACTCTTACCAAAGGTTTGCCAAGTTTCTTAGTTTTTGCAAAGAACCAAGAGCTTTGTTGATCAATTTCATTGTATGTTTATTTCCTCTCTTTCTCTTCTTATCCATCCCTTTTTTTCTCTTCTCTGTGAAAATATTTTTCTTCTATCTGCTTTAGTTAGAAACTCAACACCTTTCTTTTGATCTTTTTAAGGCTTTAAATTTTCCTTTAAATACTGCTTTAGCTGTGTCTTATACATTTTAATTTGTAGTATTTTTGTTATTATTCAGATCTAAGTATTTTCAGATTTTCCTATTTCTTGACCCACAAGTTATATGTTTTAAAATTTCTATAAGTATGCATAAAATATATTTTTAAGTGGTGTCTAATTCAAGTGCTTTTTTTTTTTTTTTTTTTTGAGGTGGGGTCTGATTGCTGGGGCTAGTCTCGAGCTCCTGGGCCCAAGAAATCCTCCCAGCTGAGGAAGATCAGCTCTCTGAAATTTTCCTGATATTTATTTATGGCCTATCACATGGTCAAATTTTAAAGATATTACTGATATTTTACCGATTGATCTATCAATTAGTAAGAAACTTATGAACATCTTCCATTTGATGTGGGTTTGTCAGTATTGCCTTTGGGTTTTATTTGCTTACTTTAGAAATTTTGAAGCCATTTTCAAGATTTAACATTTACTTTACGTTTATTTGTTCTGATGTTTGAGTAGCATTACTAGCTCAGGATATCAGAACAGTTTTACACTGGCTTCTGATGGAGTCCCCAGGGAATCCACTGTTATCCAATTAGATATTGTGTAAACTTCTGTTTTCTGAGCAATGTGGGGGTAGTGTAAGTTCACACCATGTACATGTGTCACAGTCTTCAGGTTTCTATTTTTCAAAGGATTCACACACACACACACACACACTCCCAATAAACTCTGGGTTTGCTAACTCTACCACTGAGCTAAATCCTCAACATACAAAGGGTTTCGTTTGTTTGTTTGTTTTTGCAGTTGGTGGGGCTCAAACCCAGGGCCTTGCATGCTCTCTACCACTGAGCTACATAACCAGCCACAAAGGATCTTGTCACATTTCCCTGCTCCATTCCCCCAGAATCTGGAGCAGACAGCAAGTCTCTTTGCAGCTCCTCTGGACTGGCATGTGGAATATTTCTGGACTCTTTTTCATGAACTGGGCAATGCTTTGAAGGTTTGCATTTAAAGTGATACTATGTGTGCTTAAATGTTATACAAAAATAAAGTTTACTTTTATTTTCCCACTTGGCATTTCTACAGCAAACTAACTTCTTACCGTGACTGCTGTGCAGCCTTGGCCAACTACTCCAGATGTTATGCCTTGTTTTTGAATCTGTTAAACAAGTATGAGGAGAAGCAGGTCAGTTCTTCCTGAATTTGAGTTTTCAATGTCTCAGCGCCTCTACACTGCTGTGTTTGTGCGAGCTTTGGAGTGCTTTATGATTTGAATGTACAAATTCTCCATAGAAGCTTCCATTAGATGTATAATGGGTTGCCCCAGGAGACTGTGAGTTGCTGACAGAAGTTGCAGAGAGAGTAAGTTGAGACAGAAAGTGCCTCCATGGGATATAGATGTCCTGTGAGGATTCTCATTTAGGGAAGAGGCAGGGTGGACCACCTACATGAGAGTTTTGGTGAGGCACACAGGTTTTTTCAGTAGGAGACTCAATGGACTCTACCTCAGACCTTTGGAGTCAGATGGGTGGAATGAGGGCCATGGGGACTTCTGATGCAAACTCAAGTTTGGGTTCCCCAATACTGGGTATACTTTGAAGATTCTTCTGGCCCTTGAATTCTCTAATTCTAGGGACTATGGTGTGGCTCAAGTGATAGAGTACTTGCCTAGCAGGCACGAGGCCCTGGGTTCAATTCCCAGTATGGCACCAAAAAAAAAAAAATTCTTTAATTCTTTGTTGTATTTTAGAAGATGAAATTCTTAAGCTAAGTATTTAGATGGAATAATTTAGTTTTAATGAATTAGGGCAAAATGTATAATTGCTTTAAAAGAAAGAACTCAGGCCTGCCGAAATAGCTCTGTCGGGAGCGTGTTAAACTGAAGATATAAAAGAAAGAACTCAGAAATGACTTGCCCTTAATAAAATTATAATACTTAGTACAAATATTAATTTTTAAGTTTTTGAATATTCATTAAAAGTAGTTTACTTTTATTCACTTTATAAGTGATTAAAGTGACACATTTTACACATGAACTCAGTATGTATTTATCTTAAATATAAGTTCTCAAAATCACACAATTTTCACCAGTTCAATTCCAAATAATTTAAGTTATAGTAAGAATATATTAATAAAGATATATTAATTGAAGGCTTTGTGATTGCTTATATTAGCTATAGGCCACCTTAAAACAAAACATCTATTTGCTACCAGTTAGTGCTGTATATTTTTGCCCAGCCAAGTACTTTTGCTGAGAATGAGTAAATTTGTCAGCTTATGTTATGTTAGCCATTTATAATTTTTAGTAATATAGATGATAGAGAAATTCCTGCGCTCATAGCATTCCTACACTTTTAAAGATGATAAAACCTTGTTTAAAGCATTAGAAAGATTTTGTTTACTGTCTTTAAAATTGATGTATGAGTATGCACGTGAATTTTTGATTCTGGGTATTTGGATTACAAGTACCCTCACCTATGTATTTTGCATTTTCTGTAAATGACATACTTTGAAAGATTTCAGAGTATAAGAATTTTCCATGCCAGGTAAAGAATGGGTTTGATTAATCCACCGTAAAGTATTCACAATGTGCTATTCACTTAGGAGTCCACTGAGCATTTATTAATTTAGGTTTTGGTATAATGTATTATCAGACTTACAATCTTTGCTCAAATGAATTAACTTGATGAAAAGCTCAGCTACTCCTCTTCCTGAAAATAAATCTTTTAAATGTATCATGTGTTTGTAATTTAGTTGCATGGATTTTAACTGTAATTTTGTTTTACCATTGTTGTTCTTTTTGCTTCGGTGATTTGGTCTTGGGTGACTTAGACGCCTTTTACCTGGAGAGACCTTTGCCCTGAACTAGAATTTTCAAATAAAGGTGAAGGAAAACACTTTTGTTTAAATTTGATTTCAACTTATGACATAGCTTATCATTTTTTTAAAAGGAAGAAAATCCATCATGTACTGACAATTGGCCCTGTTGTTTGGGGCACTGTAGCAGATACTGTTTTGTGTCTCTGATCATGGCTTAGATGGTGCTGTCTGTAATAGACAGATAAGAACCCTACTAGCTAGCCAGCATTGAGATACCAATATGGTTCAGGGTATGCTTTTATTTTTTTTTTCACTCAAGGGACTAAATGTCCTAACATTTAATTGGCAAAAAATTTACCATGCTTTCCACTAAACTGCTTTTTGCTTTAGAACCATAGTTATCTGAAAAGCAAAACTGGTGTTTAAAAGCTATTTGTCTCTATTGATTTATTGTGTGATTCTGTGTTCGTATTAAATTTATTTTAATGTCCACGAAGAACAAAGAGCATCTTGCAAACAGAACCATCAAAGAGATGCATCATTTATTCCTTACTCTATTCATTGTGGTGAAAAATCCTACTCAAATATATTACATCTTCCCTTTCCATTTTAGAAGACAGAAAGGGTTAAAATAATTTAACCCATCTCAATGACAAAGGTCACTTTTCTAAGCATCAGTTGTTGCACTAGAAGCTAATTCATCCCACACTGAGAGCCTGAGACAGCAGGTCATTTCATTAAATGCCTGTACATTCTCTCTTCCTTTATTTATTTATTCCATTTCTTTTATTTATTTGCCTGTCTGTCTATCTGTCTATCTATCTATCCCCAGAGGTTTGAACTCAGGGCTTTGTGCTTGCTAGGCAGCACTCTACCACGTGAGCCCTGGCTCTAGCCCTTTATTGCTTTAGTTATTTTTCTGGTAGGGTCTGGGGCCAGCCTCAGGCCATGATCCTCTTACTTATATTTCCTGTATAGCTGGTACCATAGACATGCATCACTGTGCCCGGTTTATTTATTGAGATGGGATCTCACTAAATTTTTGCCCAGGCTGGCCTCCAACCTCAATATTCCTGATCTCTACCTCCCAAGTAGCTGGGATTACAGGCGTGAGCCACCACGCCCTGCTTATTTCTGTCTTTGATAATCTTTACTTGTCCTTTTGCAATTATTTGTTTATAAAATGTAGTCAAGTTTATAAAAGTAATTTTAAAATTCTATAAGCTCTTAGTAGGAAGGGCCTAAGAGACTCGTTGATAAGGTTTCTCTGGTGACTTCTCATCTTCAATAGCCAATTCATATTTTAAGATAAGCTCTTAGATCCTATTCTCTGTGAAGTCTCCTAAGACCAGTCAATTCCTCTCAGTAACACATCATTTTAAAGACTCTAATGAAGCCAGGTATGGTGGGGCACACCTATAATCCCAACACTTGGGAGGCTGAGGCTGGAGGACTGTGAATTCAAAAGGCAGCCTGGGCCATATAGTGAGACCCTGTCTTAAAAAGCAAAGTGCCATAAAGACTAATGTAGCTGGTGCACCCAGCTTGTAGACCCAGGGCTGAGAACCTAAGCGGTATGCCTATAAGCCTAACCCTGTCATCTTTATTAAGAAAAACTAGCAACCCAGGCACTGGTGACTCACACCCTATAACCCTAACTACTTGGGAGGTTAGGATCAGGAGGATCACAGTTCTAGTTCAGCCCACGCAAAAAAGTTGGCAAGACCCCATCTCAGTGGAAAAAGCTAGGCCTGGTGGTGCTCACCTCTCAGCCCAGCAATGGTGGGAAGCATAAAATAGGAGGGTCAAGGTTTAGGCAAGACACTACCTCCAAAATAACCAGAGCAAAAAGGGCTAGAGGTATGGCTCAAGCTGTGGAGTGCCTGCCTAGTAAGCATAAAGACCTGAGTTCAAGCCCCAGAACACTGGGAAGAAGGAAGGAAGGAAGGAAAGGAGGGAAGGAGGGAGAAGAGAGAAAAGGAAAAAAAGGGAAGGAGGAAGGAAGAATGAGAGGGAGGAAGGAAGAATGAGAGGGAGAAAGGGAAGGAGGGAGAGGGAAGAGAGAATGGAAAGGAAAGGAGAAAGGAAAGAAGAAAAGAAAGGATAGGAAAGGAAAGGAGAACAAAGACTATTCAAAACTTAGAAATAAGGTATAGAGTAGAAAAAGGCTGTCCTGACAAAGTCGTGCTGAGGTTTTATTTAGTGGTCTGCTGATAGATTAACTCTCCAGACGCTATCAGCGTTTGACTTTACTTTTGCTAACTGATTAGAGCCCAGACACTATGAAGTTACACATTAATGTGTAGATTTCTATGTGGTAGAGAGGATAACCACAAAAGTTAAGGTTTGGGCTGGTGGAGTGGCTCAAGTGGTAGAGCACCTGCCTTGCAAGCATGAAGCCCTGAGTTCAAACCCCCATGCCACCAAAAAAAAAAAAAAAAAAAAAATCGAGTAAAAAAAAAAAAAGTAATGGTTTTATTACCTTGTAGGCTATTAGCCTGATGTCCATCTAACCTAGAAATCTTATTCTAATATTCCTTTAAATATCCTCTCCAGCTGTTCTTGGAACCAGCTTTATTATCCTATTGGCGCCCTCATATATGAGGTAAATAATTTTAAATGTGTTGATTTTATCTTAATAATGGGCATTTTTTAACCTAAGAAAATTATACCTTAACTCTATTCTTTTACTTATATTAAAGATTAAAATGCTATAGTTTTGAGCCAACATAATTTATATTTTTCTCAAAACCAAAATATGTTGGAAAAGCTGGGAAAGAGTTCAGGCTACAAGGAAGTAATTATGTCCCCCAACTACTTCCTAAGATCATTAACAAAAGCTCCCATAAGTCTTTGTAAAAACAGTCCTTGGGTGTTTCTCCTAATGGTTACCATTTATGCAGCTGTCTTACCTACTACTGATAGTTTCTAAGGGACACAGACTTTGTCTCAGAAACACAGAGGATGCTTTTACAGTAAGCTCATAGATACTGGAAGAAGGAATTTTGAGTGTGTAAAATGTTTTGGAATCTGTAAAGTGTTATAAAATATTTTTTCTAATACTCAAGTACTCTTCCTTTAATATTTATTTTCCTCTTCCTAGTTTGGAGGAGGAAATAATAAGGATTTTTCCTATGCATTTCATGTTGGTGGGCTGCCATAAACAACAGCAAAACAGATATGATCGATTTTAAATGACTTCAGACCAGCATGGTGGCCTAGGTTTGTGTTTGCCTTGGCTGGAATAGCCAGTTGAATATGATTTGTTTTTCTTCTTTTCCTAGGAAAAAAAAAAACAATTTCCAGAAATCCCATACTTCTGTCTGGCATGAGAGTATTGATCCACAGTGGTTAAAAGCATTTTGC